TAATAATATATAATAATATATAATAATAATAATATAAAAATATAATGAAATATAATATAATAAAAAAGATAATGATAATTAAATTATTCTTTTTTAATTGCAATTTGAAATATCAATGCAAATTTATGTTTTTAATTATTATGTATATATATCTATATAATTATTAAAAAAAATGAATATAAATAAAAAACTTTTTTTCAAATATTTTCTTTTTTGTTTTTAATATTTAATAATCTAATTTAATTATAAGCAATAAATTCATATTAGATGAAGTAAGATAAATAAAACAAGATGACAGTATAACGAGAATTATCTCATTTTACATATTTATGTATCGCTTCTCATCTGACTTCATTTGATTATACTTTAATAAGTAAGCTTTAATTGTCATTTTTTTACTTCAATAATTGATTATTCAAAAATGTTTCATTATTTATTTTTTAAATTAATATTAATATTTTGTATAGAGGACAAATATTGTCAATTATTTAAATATTGCAAAGGATCATAAAAAATTAAAAAACATAAATCTAGAAAAATATTTTAATTATTATATGGATTTTTTAGCAATAATTTTTAACAATAATTTTATGTACTCTTTTATAATTATATAATTATTGCTGATGGAATAAAATATAATGTCGATTATAATAGAAAAAGTAAATCAATTTAATATTATCAAATTATACTATAATCCATATTTAATTTTAAAATAATTTAAATTGTGTGCATGACATAGCATAAACTTATTACGTAATATATTAATAAATTTTTTATTTATTTTTTTTATTTATATCAATAATTTTATTATTTATTTTTTATAATATTTTATCAATTGAGAATTGAAAATAGTAAGAATATTTCTATTCTTTCGCTTGAATTACATTAATTTTCTAAATTTAAATGAAAATAAGATTTAAGTGAAATAAACAATTACATAAAAACAATTTTAAAATATTTTATAATTTTATAAATTTATAAACAATATTCTTATAATATATAAAATAAATTTACTATAAAAACTGATGTACGTTTCATTTGAAATTATCAGATTCAAAAACCGATATAACTTTCCTATCAATTCAATAAAAACAAAATAAATATAATAAAAATATCTATCAATAAAAATAAATAAATATTTCTTATCTTTATTAAATAACAAATTATTTAACACTGTAATTAAGGACGATGAATTTAATTAATCTTCATAAAATTTTTTTTAAATATTTATGATAAAGAGAAGAAAAATGAAAGGATACTCGCGCATAAAAAAAAAGAAAAAATAATAGATACACTGTCGGAAATGAGTACAGAAGCATAATCGAAAGTATAGTTTGGCATTCTTTCGGATGGATAAAAAAAAGAAGATCGTGGAAAATTGAGACCGCATGTTAGAGATAAAGGCGATTTCGAAGGGGTACTTTTCTTCGGCTGGCTGCAATCCAACTTTCCGCGCGTTTCGTTCCTATTGGTTCGACTCCTATTTTTTTCCTTTTTGCCCAATCACTTGTCAAAGATCATTACAATGCTCCAATTTTTTTTGTTGTAAACATTTTAAGGCTGTTATACGAATGAGACATTATCCGTTTCATTGAATTATCTTAATTTTGCTCCACGATAATTATTAAATATAAAATGCGTATATAATAATATATAATTATATATTTATTAATCAGATTTATGATTTATTAATCATATATTATTTACAAATCATGAATTAAATTAATAAATTTGTTAATAACAAATACATCACAAATCTTATTTATAATTATAAATTATAGTAATTATCATTTATAATACAAAAAATAAAATAATATTTTTTATTTGTTAAAGATTCATATGAAAATATCAAATATTATCACATAATAGAACATAATACATTATACATAATTTTGTTTTCTTAGAATTCTTAAAAATATTAATTTTCTTCAATTTTTTTAAATGATATATAAAAACAGAATTCCTGTATAATAATTAATATATTATAATATAATATTTTAATAACTAAAATTTTTATAAAGAGAAACTTTTTAACTTTATATCTAAAATTTTTAAAATATCAAATAAAAAGACAATATTTAGGTAATGACCTAATTAAAATTAAAATATTTCGAGAAATAAGAATTTTTTGAAGATAACAATTTAAGAAAATTAGAATTTCACAATAATAAAATATAACTAAAGAAATATTATATAAACGTATAATAAAAATTATCTTTTCTTTTTAAATTTCACCATATTATTTTTCTTTTTCAGATAAAGAATAAATTAGATCTTCATTCTTACAAATTATTAATAAATTCATGAAATACATTTGAAGAATCAAATACAATGAAGAGTTTTAGAAAACAAAACAAATACAAAAATTAAGATTTAATTATTAAATTATAAGTGATTGAAATTTGATGAAATGAAATAAAGATAGAAATATCCATCTTCATTATATTTCTATTTTATCCTATCTCTATTTCATTTCATCTAATTTCAATTGCTTGTAATAAATAATAATCTTTCCAATAAATTAATAAATAATTTATTTTATATGTATAATAATAAATAAATAAATAAGCTTCAATCGATATTTTTGTATATTAATTTTTTTGTTTGTTTTGATTTTTAAGATCGATTCTCTTCCACGAATACGTTTAACAAGTTATGTAATTTCATATTTTTTCTCTCTTGTATTAAATGCATACAAATTAAGGACCTTGCAGCAAGAATGGTGTGACCCATTTTTGATAATTTTTGAGTTATTAGGCATACAGTAGGATGTTGATTAACTAGCTTAAACGAAGATCAAACAGCTCGGATAAATCGAATACCGCGAGATAATCAAAGCTCGAGAAGAAATGACGAGAAAGAATGGATTTTTTATATAAATTATTTTTTCTAATAATTTATTTCTATGTTTTGAATATTCATTTGTAGTTAAATTTAATATTTATCAATAATTTGACGGAGAAAAATATTAATTACAGAAATAGAAATTGGAAAGAAAAAATGGTAAGTTTGACTACAAATATTTGCATTTTTGGAAATAAGAATAAAAAATGTATAAAGTGCATGTAATACATATAAAAATATACAAAATATCGAAATTAAATTAATATTTGATATTTTAGGGATGAAATAGATTTTTACTTAAGTTTCATTTCTCTAGTTGCATTCATAAAAATTTCAATTTGCATAAACATCTGCAATGTTACAGAAGCTTGTTTTAGTAAACAGAAGATGCTGAATAATCGAAATCCTTGATAAGGATCCGAGATTCTGGATAATTTAGATTTCTGATAATTGAAATTCTGGATTATCGAGATATTGAATAACTACGATCCTATTAATCGAGATCCCATTACATATATATCTATATATATATCTATATATTTAAATAAAAATTTTATATCTATGAATAGCATAAGATATAAATATTAATAAAAAACAAATTATTTACTAAATATTATATTATAAGATATAATAAAGATACAAATTACTAATATTTTAATATGTAATATATATATATATATATATATATATAATATGAACTCTTTTTTATATCTAACTATTAATAGCTATGTAACTATTAATAACTTATTAATAAAATAATAATAATTTGCACGTTATATATTATTATTTATTGTTGATAAAAATTGAAGAAATTATGATTCGTTATTTTCGTCAGAAATTGAAATAAAAACTTATCAATTCAACAACTTAGTAATATGTACATATTTTTTAATTATTGTTGCTTGTTAATATTAAATAATATATTTTATAAGCAATTTTCTTAAATTGTTACAAATGAATCTACCACTTTTTTGCAGAAAAATTCTTAATTAAACAAAACGATAATATTAATGCATATAAATACATATAATACATATGCATTG